TTGGTCACTGTTTCAAATACCCCGGCGACAACCCGATAAAGAATTGTGCAGACGCATTTCAATTTCAGAAACGCAAAGATTTTTTTTTTTTTTTTCCTGGCTTGAGTGTGACTCAGGCAATAGTTGGACATACTTATATTTAAAACCCTATCCGTGTGGATTTGAAATGCAAATACAGCTAGACATTTGGTCACCCCTTTCCCCAGGGAAATGCAGACGGTGCTTAACTTGCGGGCCTGGCACGGCCTGGACGCTGCGCCCCTGACCCGCGACCAGGGCGGCCCAGGCTGCCGGTTCGCCGAGCACTCTGAGCAGCAAGGGGTCAAACTTCTAACGCCTTTGTTTTGAGGGATCTCAGCGATTCTGCGACTGGAGGGGGTCTCCAGTCCCTCAGTCCGCTGGTCGGGGGGCTTTCCGAGAGGCAAAGCAGCCTCTAAGTCAGAACGGACACATTTTAAGGGGACCAGGCCGAGTCATCCTTGCGCAGCTAACAGGGAGGGGGAGTCAGGAAGTCTGAACCTGGCTCAGGCTTTGTATTTCTGGCCCCTGGCTGCCAGCCTCGCCCCAGCCTCCACCTGCATTTTGTGGGTGGCATTTCCCCCCGGGGTGACACCCGCTCTCTATGCTCTGCAAAATCCTGAGCTGGAATGCAAAACATATGCGACACCAGCAGGCCCCGCCATTCCCTGAGCCTGGTTAGGACAGGTCACGGCCTTGCCAAGCAAGCTTCACCAGCAAGCCATGCAATCCCTTGATCCTGGTTAGGACAGGAAACGGCCCTGCCAAGCCCTGCCTGGCTGAGGGGTTAAGGGCCAGGCAGGAACGCGCACTCAGGGAAAGTTCGTGTCACCCCGCGGAACGCGCGCCCTCTCCACTAGGGCCTGACCTTGGAAATGCAAGGCTGCGGCCTCATAAAGTGCTTTTAATCAAGGCCTGGGTTTCACACCCAATTAAGCAGGTATCTTTGCCTGCAGATTGCGCGCAGGAAGAAGAACGTGGCGCAGATTTGCAGCGTCAAACTCTGCTTGGGCTGCTGATTAGTCTGACTCCACCGATCCCACTCTGAACTTGACCACATAGCTACCTCTTCTTAGAAACAGACCCTGCACGTTTCTCAACACCTTGCTTGACAAAGCAGCTTTCATCTGGAAGGATCATAAAAATCCTTGAGAAACCACAGCCTATTACTTAAGAGACAAAAAAGGAAAATCCCTGTGAGTTAGGCATGAAAGGGTCATTATCGCCTTAATGAAGTGGCATTAATTTGCAGTGGAGTCAGGAAATGCTGAACTCTGCCATTCCGAAGGAATAAGTCCCTGACCCTAAACGAGAATGAGCTATAAATTCAATACAATGATAGGTGCAGGTGTTGTTAAATATGAGAGGAATCAAAATTGTACCATCTGGCTGAGCGCAGAGGCTCACACCTGTGATCTCAGCACTTTGGGAGGCACTGGGGTTTGAGACCAGTCTGGGCAACATTGGAACACACCTCCCATCTCTATCAAAAATAAGTTTTTTAACTAGCCAGGTGTGGTGGTGCACACCTATAATCCCAGCACAGAGGCAAAGGCACAAGGATGCCTTGAGCCCAGGAGGTCAAGGCTGCAGTGAGCCATGACTGCGCCACTGCCCTCCAGCCTGGGCAAGAGAATGAGATCCTGACTGAAAAAAAAAAAAGTCCTACCATCTCTGAAGGGAGCTGAACACTCTTTAAGCATGTATACTGTATGTGTGTGTTTGTGTATGTATGTGTGTTTATATAGTGTATATATATATCCACTACATATATTATATATACTGAGTTAGATATGTTATATATTTGTGTATATGTATGTGTACATAAGTATGCACATATAATATATGACATAATACATTTTGCATAAATGATATATAAAATATATTTCTATATATGCTGATATAAAATATTTTTGTTCTAATTTTACTTTTTATTTTTTCATTTTTATATATTGAGGAGGTACAAATGCAGATTTTCTGTTTTTCAGTAATTTTGCTTAAGATAATGGCCT